AATCCCAACTGCGAAAAAGGTCGCTCCTTTTTTTCCCTTGGACTGAGCTGTTATGTTATGGAGGTTTCTTTTCGAATTTTGGCCTTTTGGATTTGGTTGGTGGTTTTTTCTTTTTGGGAAATATAATTTTGTATAAAAAAGAGAAAAAGTGAATTTTCTCGGGAAAAAAGAGTGGGAATATGGGAAGAGAAAGAACAGAGATATCTCAGTGTATCGGAAATACTGCTCAGTACCACAAGTATAATAATATAATTAGTTAATTTTTTTATTTTTAATTTTTCAACCAATTGTATATAACATTTGTTATTTATGTTGTGTTCTCGACGCATTGAAATTTTTTCTAGAAAAAAGAAAGATGGGGATCAAAATGGGAATAAAAAATTAGGGTTTTTGATTGGGGAGAAGAAAGCGTCAAAAGATTTGAGGATGCGGGCGGCTGCAACCCTACGTGACGGAGGTGCCTATAATAATCTGAGAGATGAAATGGAATGTGTAGAGCTGGGGACGACGTCGTTGTCTTGTACCTCACACAGTTGTCAACAATTTGGTAGGAAAGAACATGGGCTCAAGTTGTAAAGCCCATACAAAAGTTTGATAGGTTTGGTGGAGGTAACGAGTGAAGGCCCAAAAACATTGTTGAAATATTAATTTTGGTGAAAATGTTTTTGGAACTCGTCCTTATTAAAAATAAAAGTAAATTATGAAAAAGCACTTGAAGTGCTTTCTATAAGAAGCACCAAGCACTTCATGCACTTTTGGAACTTTTATTTTATTTTTTTAAATCGCTTTCAATTATTTTAAAACTTTCCAAACGAATATTTAATCATAAGTATCAAACTCGCTCTACATTAATTAAACTAAAAGGATGACAAGTTTTAATTCCAAACATCGTTAGATTTCTTCGTTAACAATTGATTTCAGTATTAGGGAGTTATTAACATTCCTTAATACAAATCGTTTGCTTTTTAAGCTTATTAACCACCTGTGGATATGGATTAATTTATTAATTTATATTTTCTGAGAAACTAGGATCAAATAGTTTAAAAACAAACGATTCGTAACAGTACAATTATACAATTCGGACTTGTGTTTTTGTCCCCAATACTCCATGGAAGGCTAAAATTGTTTCAGAAGTGACAAGCATCATCTTAAACTTGGACAATTAAAAGCACCGATGCCACTTAGTACTACGATCTGGTGGTATTCCTCTTTACTTGAAAGTGAGAGGTTTTAGATTCGAATTTCGTGGATGGCGAATTCAATACCAAATTAAGTTGCTCATTGTGTAACTTAACCAAACTCCCCCACCCTCGGTAAACATATCGATATACTCAAAAAAAAAAAAAAAAAAAAAGCACCTATGCCTTTGTTACCCCCACCGAAGAATTTACAATGACATATTCAAATCTTAAAGACGATAGTTGTTTACTAATAAGTATGAGCATACAAGATATAATTCGTAATTCTTTTACATGTTCTTTATCAGAAGAGAGAGACTTACCTACTGCTGGAATACAACAATGCTGTTGTAGACACGAGGGGTATATATCCGTGACAGGTAGTTACTTACACTCTATCTGGCTGTTGTAGACACTGACAAGCTAGTTCATTTCTTTGTTACCCAAGAAGCCGGAAACTGCACATTACGGTTTCGTTTATATTCATCATCGCACCACCATTGTCATATTCATATATTCACCGCAGAAATTAGGAGCAGAAAAAATGAGTTGCCTGTTGGAGAAGAATTCATAACGGTCCTCCACGACCTAAACAACATTAAAGCATTTGTTTGACGAGTCTCCAAAACGAGTGAGCTAATATGGTGTAATGAATGGTTCGATTTTAATTGTACCGAGGTCTTTTGTGATATAATCCAAAATCCGACAGCCGGTGTAATAAATATTAATATTCCCATATACCTGCACATGTACTTACACAAATGCAAACAGAACTACAACAATAAGGTAGACAGCATGACTAGTTTGCGCAACAAACAATAATCTGCTGACCTGGTTCAAGACTGGAGCGCTGGTACTGCAGTCATTACATTTTTGTTGACATCAAGAACTTGGCTTTTTTCTCAGCTGGTTTAAGAATATGGAAAGAGCGCATTAAGTTCTCATCTACAGTCATCATCGCAGCAACATTGTCGAACACACCACGGTAGTTGGGAGCTGAGTAAACTGTAACTAGTTGCCCGTCCGCGAAGAACTGAAAACCATCTTCCACAGCCTACAAAGAAGAACTTGTTTAAGTTCCAAACTAAGTTAGCTTGAGTAAAACCAAGGGGGAAGAAGGATAGTCAAGAACCTGATGGGCGCGGCAAACAAGGTCCAAATCATGTTTTTCGTTAAGAATTCTGCCACCTCATCAGGGCCAAATGTATATGAGACTCCTCTGCCATTCACTCTCCATCCCTTAACATCTCCATCAGGATCTGACCAGAGCAAATCACAAAGCAATCCATTGTAAGGAACAGCAGTTGGGCGAGGTAAGTTCCTGATCTGATCCAAGTTTGTCAAATCAGGGGAAAGACCACCGTGCACACAAAATATCTTGTCGTCTATAACAGCCGCGACAGGAAGGCAGTTAAAGGCGTCGATGAAGGATATCCAAATTCTCACATTAAATCGCCGCTTACACTCATCGTAAAATCCATATCTACGATTTATAGATGCGCATTCGTGATTTCCTCTGAGAAGGAAGAAGTTTTCGGGATATTTGATCTTGTAGGCAAGCAAGAGGCACATTGTTTCTAAACCCTGTTTCCCATAATCCACATAGCCCCCTAAGAACAGATAACTGGCACTAGGAGGCAAACCCCCATATTCAAAGAGCCTCAACAGATCGGGATATTGCCCATTAATATTGCCTGAAAGTGAAAGGCAAGTAAAATCATGTTCAGGAAACTTTCCCGAGGTGGGATCCATACTGTCAGCACTTACAGCCAAGGAAAAAAGACGTTAGAAGCCAATCTAGCAGTACCATTTTGTGAGCGTAAAAACGAAAACTGAAAACTGATACATATGCTTGATGTGTTACAGCATACCGCAAATAGTGATAGGGGCTTGAAGCTCGAGCAAATTGGGCTGACTAAGGAAGATTTCTCGGGAGCAAATGCAGAGCTGCCTTACCTCAGACACGGAGAGCCAAACACGCTTGCGTGGCCTTGATCGGACCTCCAGAAGCCTACTGATTATGTCATCCAGTACGATAGGGTCCATCGCTCCACCCCATTTCAAAGTGGATGCAGCGCAGTTTGGATCGTCTTCCAATTGCTGACCTCTCTCCTGTTCAAATAACCACGATGAAATCATTCTTATTCACTGACTTGGCTTAACTGGCTTTTCTATAATTATATATACAGCTCAAGCACTAGTTAGTTAGTAACTTGGAACGGAGCTACCTACTCGTTTAGTCTCACTCCATAATTTAATGTCGTGATCTCTGCCGTTCATTTTTCAAGGCCATATTCAACGATTACATGTATACCTATATACCTATATATATATATATAAAATAAAGCACATAATGATGGTGGACATGAACGTACCTTTGCAGCAGGGCTCAACATTGGCAAGCAAGGACTTTCACCATGGCTGACACTTGGCTCAACAATTGCAGCCGGCCTCATCTGATCCACGCCATCAGCGGCAGCTTGGAGAGCATTCCGATTGCCATTGATGGTCTCATGCACTGTGTCTATGTTCACAGTGATACGTTTCGCAGTGTACCTCTTCACGCTTGAGCGAATCCCACCACTCATGATAGTGTCTAGTTAAGATTTTAAACGACCGAAACCAACCCCCATCGTCAGAAACTCAACCAAAATTACTAGTCAAAGAAAGAAAAAAACAAAAATTAATCACTTAATATTTTGAACTCTATACAAATCACCACGTTACCACTTTGGATCACTAGCACTGATGCTCCAGTTCTTCAAATAGACGAAGAAGACAGAAAACTCACGAGTTAAAAAATTTTAGAAGAAAAAATATCAGAGGATATAAAACAAATAAAAACAATTAGGAAAAAGTTGACAAACCCTAATTCTGAAGAAACTGTATACATGCACGAATGAAAAGAAAAGTCACCAACTATCATCAGATCAATAGCAAGTTTGCCAGATAACAAGAGAGCGAGAAAAAGGAGGGAGAGAGGCTGCTACTGGACAGAGAGAGAGACTTTGCCGGCCGTAGACCGATGACCACATTTTATTTAGCGCGTTTTCTAACTGCGATATGAACTAGAAATTTGTAATAAAGGCTGCCAAAACATATAGAAATTTATTTATAGTCTACTTTTTTTTATTAGTATAGGGAGATAGGTAACAACAGTACAAGAGAATATATATCCGTGATAAGTAAGTGTTTCCGCTCTATCGGGCATTTTGTGGACATCACCAAGCTAGTTCTTTTCTCTGTTACCGTACAAAGCCGGAAATTCGGCAGCTGAAGTTCTCATCATTGCACTACCATGTCATCCCAATCGTACCATTCATTCTTTGCCCTTCCATGGATATCAATGCAAAGGGGGTGACCAGAAAAAAAAAAAATCACAAAGCATACAAGCCAGAATCAGAAACATCAGTTCTGATCAAAGTTTTTCAAATCGGAGGTGTTATCATCCATAATCGCCACCTGCACTCATCATAAAGTAGTTGTCTGGACTTAGGCTTATTTTTTTCAAGAGTAATGTCTCTTGAAACTTGACCAATCTCATCTTCTCCCCTAAAACTCAAATTTCGTTACTTTAACACCCTGATCTTGATATTCGCTTCACTTTGGCGTGATCTGTTTATTCCGTTAAATTTGCTGACGTGGCTGCTTATGTGGCGTTCATGTGGCATTCATAGAAAAGGTTATTGGTCAATTCACCCTTTATTTATCTAATGGTAACAAACTTAAAAGGGAAAGATGTAAAAGCCAAACTTCTCCTCTTCCCCTGCCTTCCACATTCCCCTCAACAGAAAACCACTCAAAATCAAATGAACCCAAAACTTCATCAAAATTCATAATTCGACCGTACATATTGAACATTAAGAAGAAGGCGGCAATGATTGTCCATCAAAATTCAACAGAAATTTCACCTTGTTGATTAAGAACAATCAGAAGATGAACTATAGTATCATGGTTGGGAAAATAACGAATGGAATGCAGAATCAGTATCCTCACTCCTAAACTTACTTGTCCTGACGAAAGGCTGCCTTTTTCTTCATAAACAATTCCGTAATCCTGCTTGAGTTATATTCTTTTTCACATTAATCGCCGATTTTTCCTTCTCACCCTTGATTGATGCCCTTGAAACCTGCACGCTTAATTTCGGATTCTTGAGTGCGAGGGCCTCAAATTGAGCAGAAAAAACTACGTCACTCATGTTTATGGCAATGTAATCCAGTACATTGTCCTTCAGTGCTTGGTAGGAGCAAGCATCCGCAACCTCCAGAGCATCGAGAGCATTGGTTGAACTCAGGGAGTTGAGCATATGACGCACACAAAATCTGCCCAAGTATGGTATTCCGTACTTAGTCGCTGCGACTGACAAGGAGAAGACATGCTTGTTCATTTGATCTTCAAGCAGGTCCGCATTATAGAGGAAATCCACGAGAGACTTGAGCTCTTCGTGATTCAACTCAGGCAGTGTTATGTTGTCCACCTGGTTTGTTGGAGCTTTGGAGCATCCTTCCGTGTTTGGAATGTTCAAGATTTTCGATCTTGTTGCCTACAGTCAGAACTCAGAATAACAATGATCAATTGACCTAGTACAAGTTACGGATCATAGTCTAGACTCCAAAGTTAAACACACTCTGTAACTACTAGTAGAAGATACATGATCGGATACATATTCCAATGCAATTCAATGTCCATCTTGTGAAATACACAAAAACCGCACAACTTGTAAATGCAGAGGATCGGTATTCGATACCGAGAGTGAGATGGAGAGTGTATACCAATAAGAGTTTATGTGCAGGTATAGTAGGCCCATTGTCACCCGGATGAAGTAGTATATCAGTGGGAGCATGATCTCTGTATGCAGGAGCAAATCCATTTAAGTATTCAATCTTTTCATGGAGTTCTTCCAAATCTAATGTTTCAAATTTCCTTTTTTGGAGTAAACCTTCTGATGTTTGTTTAGCATTACTCGCCTCCCTGAGATCCTGAGGAGCAAAGGAAATTAAAAGGATATCGCAAAATGATAAAATGGGAAGCCAATCAACGAGGTGCAGACATCGATCATCATAAATGATTTTTTAGGACTTGGAGAAGTGATTTCAACACGTTTATCTTGTTCATATTCTTATTTATTTCTCGATTTTGAATGAGTCAAAGGAGATTCAAGAAACAAAAACAAACATGGATGTACAAAGGGGAAACAAGTGTGTTGGTATTATTTTCCTTTCTTAATCTTGTGAACACAATATGGAAAGTGATTAGGAAGTTAGAGAATGAAGTTAGTTTAGAAAGTAAGAAATGGACCAAATGGTGGGTTGGATTTGATGGTATTGTGTGCGTGAAATTGAACTTTTTTACAAATATTAAAAAGAACAATGCTTTGGCTTCGCAAAATTGTGATGGAATTCTCAAAATACTTAGTGGCCAATTTGTAAAATTTCGCATTTATGATCGGAAATGTTCATGTTATAATTCATTCTGTAAAGATCATCAATCAATTAAAACTATTGTCGTTTAGCTAACCAACTGTAACAAATAAATAGACTGTTCGTAATGTTTTTACCAATTCCAACCATCATATTTATACCAATCTGTCCATATGATCTCACATTTTATTGATTTTTTTATAGTAAAAGTCTTGACGTAGTCTCTATAATATGTAATGTTTTGATTATAAGTACAAAGTTCCATTAATATTGTAATTATGTGATAAAGGAAGGGGCAAATATGTAATAAGTGAGGAGTCCTTATTCTATAAAAGGACCCCTCACCCTCACAATTAGGGGGATCATTTCTGAGGCCAATTCCTAGGCCTGAGATCCCCTCTCTCACCCTCAGAAGCTCTCAGAAGCTCTCACCCTCTCCCTCTATATTCCCTCAAATAAATACATAATCAGTGTGGACGTAGCCCAAACCTTGGGGTGAACCACGATACATCTTGTGTTATTTACATTTCATGCAGATTCACGGTCGGATTTACGTTGTTCCAAGACCTCCGGTTTTGTGCATCAACATTTGGCGCCGTCTGTGGGAATCGATACGAAAAGTTATGTCGGTTCTCTCAATTGTTCACCTCTATCGTGAATCTGCAAAATCACAAGAACCCAGAATCTCCCTCCTGGGGCTTTTCTAGAAAACCTTCTTTTGTCTCTCTCTCTCCCTCTTTTCCCCTCTCCATAGCCAAACTTGAAACCCAACAGGCAAAGAGAGAAAGCAGAGGAATTTGAACGCTGGTGAAGTCAGATTTCCATCAATTTCTTCTAGCTTTTCCTACAAACTAAAGAAGAAAACCTACATAAATATGGGAAGAGGATAGAAAACCGCCCCAACGCAAAACATCAAAAGCTGAGAGATGCAGTCGTCAGATCATCAAAAGCTTTTGTTGGCAGAATCAGTGCTTGTCGGGGTTGTTGGCAGAGTCATTACAGACGTCAAAAGCTGGGACCGTTCAGGCAAGCTTTTCCGATATGCAGTCATCAGATCTAGACCCGGATTCGACCCGCCAGTGGAACGACACTGACAGCTTTGACTATTGGGTAACCTCCAGATCTCCACAAACCGACGCGACCTTTCCCTCCATACCATCATTTATTCCCGCAATTCGGGCTGTTTCGAAATGAGAAAATCAGACGGCTGTCGTCTCCAAATCGCCGAAGGTGACTATGGGGCAGACGTCTGTCGTCTCTGTCCCTCAAGCTCCAGCTTCAGTCCCATATTTCCACCAAGTTCCAGAATCCACACTCACAAACCCAAACGACTTCCCTCTCGTTCCTTACTAGTCAAAAGCCAAAAGCCAAAAGCTGTTTAATTAGTCACAGAAGCCATGGCAAAAGATATTGAAGGAGCTGAGCACGGTGAGTTTGCAACCAAAGAGCAGGCAGGAACTCCGAGTACTTCGCTGAAAACCCCGTCTCAGAGCAAGAAGAAAAAGAGAAATGGAAAGATCAATATCTTTTCAGGTTTTAGCTGCGGCCGGATTAAATAAACCGACCCCGATCCTAAATGGGTCATGGAGAAAATGCCCATGCCCCGTGTCATGTCTGGTATGCTACTATTGCCCACGGGTGACGTCCTTATAATCAACGGCGCATTGAACGGGACGACAGACTGGGAGAACGCGAAAAATCCAGTTTTCAACCCGGTCTTGTATTGAACCTACGAATCCAACTCGGAACGGAGAATCGTGGTGCTGAAGCCAGCCGGCATTCCAAGAACTCATCCGTTGTTCTTGTGCCAGATGGCAGAGTATTGGTAGGCGAGAGCAACCCACACGAGATGGACAACTTCAGGAGAACTTTCCCCACCGATCTCAACCTGGAGGTGTTTCATCCACCGTACCTGGCCCCACTCTTCGCTTCCCTGCGACCGTCGATCCTCACCGTCGAAACGAGGGATGATACCGTATGTTGTCATTCAGCGTATCTTCCAAATCATCTATGTGAAGAGGCTCTGTCTGGGGAGAATGAACATGTAGTTGTGAGATTTCGTTACAACAACGACCGGTACAAATATCACACCATTCGTTAATCATTCTGCTTGGCTAGAACGATAGAAATCTTCATTCAAAAGACAAAAAAAAATTAGCAGCTCCGTATACAGTGGAAGTAGCTGCCAGAGCGAGGTGTCTATCGCCAGCGATTCGAGCTTGGAAACAAAGCGCGTCGGAGAAGAGATATCCGAGATGTTTCAGTGGCTTGCAGGGGTATGATTGGTAAATTCAATAAAAGGACTGCATCAGACAGGGATGGGGAACATGGGTGGGCAGAGAAGGAGTGGAGAGATAAAGAAAGGCATATGGGTGGTGTCTGTCCAAGCAGCTGTCATCCTAGAGAAAAGCAAGGAAAGCAATGGCAATTAAAAACTTAAAATCAGATGGTCTCCAAAGGCCATAAAACATGGGTGGACATATATAATTGCGGAAGACCAGAGATAATTGCGGAGGACTCAGGGATCATGCAGAAAGGAAAAGCAGAAAGGAAAAGAAAAAGTAAAAGCAAAAGCTTCTGCAGCCATCTGCCATTCCACTACCCAGCCTTCAATTATGCAGATACTATCTCATTATCCAACCATCTGCCATACTCACCTTCAAAAGCAGTATTTTTGAATGATGTAATTTATTTTTATTATCTTTCGGAGACATCTGTATAAACTCCATCAGATGGTTATATGTATAAACCCCATCAAAGGGTAAAAAAAAAAAAAAAAAAAAAAAAAAAAGAACGGTAAAGCCCAAAATAAATGGGCTGGAATGTTGTGGAGGGCGAAGGCCCATAAGCCCAAAATAGCTCCAACCAGGCGATCAAAAGTACGCCCAATACTCAACAATTATTTGGCAACCTGCCACTATTATCACCAACCAGGTGACCAAAAGTACGCCCAGTACTCCACAATTATTCTGTAATCGGCCGCTATTACCACCAACCAGGTGATGAAATGTACAACCCGTACTCTAATATCATTTGGCAACTAGCCATTCATGCCACCAACCAGGTGATGAGATGTACAACCCGTACTCTAATTTGGCAACTAGCCATTCATGCCACCAACCAGGTGATGAGATGTACAACCCGTACTCTAAATTGGCAACTAGCCATTCATGCCACCAACCAGGTGATGAAATGTACAACCCGTACTCTCCTTCATGCTACCAACCAAGTGATCAAAAGTACGCCTAGTACTCCAAATTATACTTGAGCACTACTCATGTCATTTATACATAAACATTCATGAGCATCACCCATGACAATCATACATAAACATTCATGACCATCATTCATGTCAACATTCATGAACATCACTCATGTTAACATTCATGAGCATCACTCATGACAACATCCATGACCATCACTCATGTCAACATTCATGAGCATCACTCGTGACAACATCCATGAGCATCATTCATGTCAATCAACATAAACATTCATGAGCATCACTCATGTTAATCAGCTTCAAAAGCTTCATTTACAGAGCTCCAGCTTCAAAGCTTCACCTGCAAAGCTTCACCTACAAAGCTTCAGTGCAGGATATACAAATACCGCCTCCAAACAACCGCCACTTCGACCCATACATGGATTCAATTTGAAGTCTCCGGCCAACAGACTCTATTGACCGAAGACTTGGGGGACTACATTATGTACCATATATTGGGCCTCAACTAGGCCTCATGAAAAAATACTTGGGGGACTTAGCCCATCACTTATGTATTGAGGAGCGAGCCCTTATTTTATAAAAGGGACTCCCTCACCATCATTACACAGCATCGCCGCCTGCTGAGCAACTGCCTCGCCGCGAGCATCAACTTAGCCCATCACTTATGTATTGAGGAGCGAGCCCTTATTTTATAAAAGGGACTCCCTCACCATCATTACAGAGCATCGCCGCCTGCTGAGCAACTGCCTCGCCGCGAGCATCAACTCTAGCCCATCATTTATGTATTGAGGAGCGAGCCCTTATTCTATAAAATGGACTCCCTCACCTTCAAACGTCACAAGCCGAGCCAACCAAGGCAATATAAGCCATAAGCAGAGCCGCCTCGCAACATGTGCTACTTCTGGTTGATCATCATTTCACTTTGAGCACCACCTCATATCAAGTACCAATTCAAGACAACATCTAGTTACTTCGGCCCACACATGGACTGAATTTCAAGTCTCCAGCCAAAAGACTCTCTTGACTGAAGACTTGGGGGACTACTGTTTATACCATATTTAGGGCCTCGTATTTAGATCTCGTACAAATACTCGAGGGACATAAATGTAATTATGTGATAAAGGAAGGGGCAAATATGTAATAAGTGAGGAGTCCTTATTCTATAAAAGGACCCCTCACCCTCACAATTAGGGGGATCATTTCTGAGGCCAATTCCTAGGCCTGAGATCCCCTCTCTCACCCTCAGAAGCTCTCAGAAGCTCTCACCCTCTCCCTCTCTATTCCCCCAAATAAATACATAATCAGTGTGGACGTAGCCCAAACCTTGGGGTGAACCACGATACATCTTGTGTTATTTACATTTCATGCAGATTCACGGTCGGATTTATGTTGTTCCAAGACCTCCGGTTTTGTGCATCAACAAATATAAAAGCATTTTCAAAGGAGATGTCAAAATGTACACATCAGCAACTATAACAGTAAAAAAATATCACACTAATATTCTCCAACCGAAGTGCCAAATCCTATGTGGCGATGACATGGATTGGCAACAAAAGAGGTTGTTGTCAAATTTTACAGCAACTTCAAATGTTTTTTTTACTAATTAGTAAATGTATTTTATTAATTTTTAATTAGTTTAATAATTTAATAAAATTAATGTTAAGTTGACCGATGCAATTATCCTACTTTTTTTTTAATTTTCAATCAAGGAAGGTGAATAGATTACTAATTAAACTTTAAATGTCCTTTATTAAATTTTAATTGGTTTAATAATTTATTTTATAAAATAATAATTTTATTTAACATATCGCTTGTAGAACAAAACTTTAAAATATGTCAAAGTGCCACGGAAGCTATCAAAATTTAAATTTTATGTTCAAAATTTGATATCTCCTTTGAAAACGATCAAAGTGTTTTTGAGGGGGAATTCATTTCCCAAAATTTGAGGAACCAAGTATAATTGTATAAAAAAAAGGAACCATAAATTCCTCCTGAGTTTTTAATAGAAGTGAAACGAATGTAAAGAGATAAATCAGTTAACATTGGCAAGCATTTATATTTTGTGGCTTACTGGACTTGCGTACCTTTGCAGTAGAGGTCAACATTGGCAAGCAAGGAACTTTACCGTCGCCAAGGCTCGTCTCCGGAAGCGAAGATCCATCTCGCGGTTTCTTATCCGCACTATCAGCATCTCGGGGGTCGCTTAAACTGCTACTACTTTTTGTCTCAGGCATGGTGGCTCCGCCCAAAATGAGGCATTTCACGGTGTACCTCTTGACGTTTGAGCGAAGCCCACCAGTCATAGTGTCAGGCACTGATACCAACAACATAATCAACGTTTGAATTAATCGCTAATCAGTGGTTAACTAAAAGCAGTTTAATCCGATACTTGTAACAAATATGCATAAACTTACCAGGTTTCCAACTTGGGATCACCCAGTTCTTCAAGTAATTAAACGGAGAGGATGAGAGGTGAAGAGAGAGTCAGAGGCAGAGGGAGCTATTGGATAGAGGTAGAGTCAAAAGTGGGTGTGGCAAACGACCGAAGACTCGCCCGCTGAGTCGATGACTACTCAATTTTAAAAGGATAAATTGCGGTTTGACTTCCTGTACTATTAGTTCAGTTAAAATTGATTTCATAAAATTTTCTTTTGATAAATTAACCCTCTAAACTATTTGAAATAAGTCAATTGACCCTTTATGTTCGATTCCGTCCACTATTCTATCAAATTCAAGGGCAAATTAGTATTTTTATCACCAATTCTTACATGTTACTTGTAATCACCGTTAAATTTTGACATGTGGACACATAAGAACGTGTAATGATTATGTGAAATGGTACATTATGCAAACGTTTGATTTCTTTATGTTTCTTATTACTGAAAATATGACTTTAGCCCCTAAAACTTAATTTTCTCTACATAAAACCTGACATAAGTTTTTTCTTGAATAAAACTCATTGACTACACATCAGCAAATTCATTAATTATGTTTGACTTCACATATAAATTTTTTTTGGATGCCTAAAATACCCCTATTTGAATTTTTTTTAAACCCTATTTAAATGTTTGATGTACATAATTAATGTCATGCGGATGGATGGTAAGGGAGAATTAACGATTTTACAAAAAAAAATAAATATTAATGTTATAAATTCATTGCCTAATATATAATAACATAAAACATGTCTAATATATGTTATTATACATGCTTAATTAAGTCAATAAAATTATATTTTACATATTAATGTAGCTAAATTATTTCACACACACACACACACACACACATATATATATATATATATAAATGCCTGATATATGTAAAATTCATGCAAAATAATTTACCTACAAAAAAAAACATTTGATTCATGACACACCCCGACCGAGATCGAGGCGTGTTGGCCGTCACGTGAGGGTGACATAGCCATGTGCACAGTGCAGAAGCTATAAGGATAAGAAATATACGAATTATGTGCACTAATAAGCAAGGAGTGCTAGGAGTGAGATACAAGTGTAAATACACCTAATCAGAGCATAGAAAGTCTAAGTGCAGTCCAGTAGGACAAGTACTAATTATACAATACCAGAAGATATCCTACGAATATTTTATTCTGTCAGAACCGCCGAGATCCTCAATGTCACCAACAACAAGTCTACCTAAAACCTGGAGGGGCGCAAAACATAAAATGTGAGTGAGCAAAAACAAAGCTTTTCAAAATCATTTCATTATCAAATGCTCTAACCCCTCGCCGTAAAACATGTATAATTTTCCCAGAAATAGAATATGAATATAAATATATATAGATATATTCAAGTCATGCTTCACATATCCATAATCATAAGTATGCCATGCCAAAATATAAAGCAGAATGAGTAACTCAGGTGTGTTAATGCACAAAACCGGAGGTCTTGGAACAACGTAAATCCGACCGTGAATCTGCAAGAAATGTAAATAACACAAGATGTATCGTGGTTCACCCTAAGGTTTGGGCTACGTCCACACTGATATTGTATTTCTCTGAGAAGTGAGGGGAGTGAGGGAAATAGCTTCTGAGGGTGAGAGAACTCTTCCCATGGCTTAAGAAATGGCCTCCTCTAATTGTGAAGGTGAGGAGTCCTTTTATAGAATAAGGGCTCCTCACTTATTACATATTTGCCCCTTCCTTTATTACATAATTACATTTAAGTCCCTCGAGTATTTATACGAGATCTCAATACGGAGGCTCTAAGTATGGTATAAACAGTAGTCCCCCAAGTCTTCAGTCAAGAGAGTCTTTTGGCTGGAGACTTGAAATTCAGTCCATGTGTGGGCCGAAGTAACTAGATGTCGTCTTGAACTGATACTTGATATGAGGCGGTGCTCAAAGTGAAATGATGCTCAACTATAAGTAGCACATGTTGCGAGGCTGCTCGGCTTGTGGCGCTTGAAGGTGAAGGGTCCCTTTTATAGAATAAAGGCTCGCTCCTCAATACATAAATGATGGGCTAGAGTTGATGCTTGCGGCGGGGCGGTTGCTCAGTGGGCGGTAATGCTCTCTAATGGTGGTGAAAGAGTCCCTTTTATAGAATAAGGGTTTGCTCCTCAATACATAAGTGATGAGGCGGTTGCTCAGTTGGCGGCGTTGCTCTCTAATGAAGGTGAGGGAGTCCTTTTTATAGAATAAGGGCTCACTCCTCAATACATAAGTGATAGGTTAGGAGTGATGCTCGTGGTGAGCCGGTTGCTCAGCTGGCAGCGTTGCTCTCTAATGAAGGTGAGGGAGTCCATTTTATAGAATAAGGGCTCGCTCCTCAATACATAAATGATGGGCTAGGAGTGATGCTCGCGGCAAGGCGGTTGCTCAGCTGGCAGCGTTGCTCTCTAATAAAGGTGAGGAAGTCCCTTTTATAAAATAAGGGCTCGCTCCTCAGTACATGAATAATGGGTGCTTTCTAATGAAAATGAGGGAGTTCCTTTTATAGAATAAGGGCTCACTCCTTAATACATAAATAATGGGCTAAGTCCCCCAAGTATTTTTCATAAGGCCCAGTTGAGGCCCAATATATGGTACATAATGTAGTCCCCCAAGTCTTCGGTCAATAGAGTCTGTTGGCTGAAGACTTCAAATTGAATCCATGTATGGGCCGAAGTGTCGGTTGTTCGGAGGTGGTATTTGTATACCCTGCACTGAAGCTTTATAGGTGAAGCTTTGTAAGTGAAACTTTGAAGCTAGAGCTCTGTAAATGAAGCTTTCGAAGCTGGAGCTTTTGTAAATGAAGCTTTTGAAGTTAGAGCTCTGTAAATAAAGCTTTTGAAGCTAAAGCTCTGTAAATGAAGCTTTTGAAGCTGATTGACATGAGTGATGCTCATGAATGTTTATGTTGATTGAGATGAGTGATGCTTATGGATGTTGTCATGAGTGATGCTCATGAATGTTAACATGAGTGATGCTCATGAATGTTGACATGAATGATGGTCATGAATGTTTATGTATGATTGTCATGAGTGATGCTCATGAATGTTTATGTATGAATGACATGAGTAATGCTCATGTATAATTTGGAGTACTAGGCATACTTTTGATCACCTGGTTGGTGGCATGAAAGAGAGTACGGGTTGTACATTTCATCACCTGGTTGGTGGCATAAATGGCTAGTTGCCAAATGATATTAGAGTACAGGTTGTACATTTCATCACCTGGTTGGTGGCATGAATGGCTAGTTGCCAAATGATATTAGAGTACGGGTTGTACATTTCATCACCTAGTTGGTGATAATAGCGGCAGGTTGCCGAATAATTTTGGAGTACTGGGTGTACTTTTGATCACCTGATTGGTGGTAATAGCGGCATGTTGCCGAATAATTTTGGAGTACTGGGCATACTTTTGATCACCTAGTTGGTGCTATTTTGGGCTTATGGGCCTTTGCCTTCCACACAACATTTCAACCCATTTATTTTGGACTTTGCCGTTTTTTATTTTTTTATTATTACCCTCTGATGGAGTTTATACAGATGTCTCCGAAAGATAAGAAAAATAAATTACATCATTCAAAAATAAATAAAGCAGTCGTTGGTGTGTTGCTTTTGCTTTTGCTTTTGTTTTCTGCTTTACTTTTGCTTTCGTTTTCTGCTTTGCTTTTGCTTTCTTCTTTTCTCTTTATCGAACCAAGGATGCTTTGCGAGCATGTGGAACAGCAGAAGCAGACAGCATCGTCAGTCTGCAGCGTCACCAGCATCTTTCTTACAAAAGACATGCCCACATGAACTAAAGACCACGAGCGACAACGTGTTGGTCAAAGTAACCTTACAGCTCAGACAGATAAGTGTCTTACAGCTCGGACAGATAAGTGTCTTATCCTGAGACCCACGTAGCCTTTCAGAATCCTCAAAACGGGTCCCCTTTTGACACCTAAAGCCTGATATGTTTTTCGTTGTTTTCTATCCTCTTGCACTTTGAAATCTCCCTGAAGTTTGCCACGACTACCACCAAAGCTCATCTGGGTATCAAAATCTTTCTCCCAAGCCTTCAAATCCTCAACAATTTTGGTAACCATGGTGGGAACTGGAGACGCAGTGCCCCAACCCTGCCATTCCGTGTTAAGAGGTAAGCAGAGTGTGGCAGCAGTAATTCCAGCTGCAGCGCCAGCAATGAACCTCTCAAAATTTGTGGTCTCCTTATTTCCGGAGAAGCAGAGCAATTGTTTTCTGTAAGTATCATAAGCATAGAAATTGATTGCTTTAAGTGGAGCTGTACGAAGAATATTGACTAGGTTCCCTTTCCAAAAGCCCTTCAACCCCTAATTAGCCGCAATTGTCTTAACGAGCTCAAATAGATGCATCTGTTCACCGCGCACTATATACTCCAGCTTTAGTCTCTCAAAAGGTGCAACAAAAGTTCTGGAAACCATGGCGGCTATAGCACCAGCCCACAAATGCTTGGTGGTATTCATGGCCCTACCACTCCTAACCCCAAATTTCTTTCTCTTCTTCTCTGTAACCATCGCCGCCGCTGTCTCCTCCGAACTATCATCTCCGTTCTGCACCAAACACCTCTTAGACTTCCGAACAACCCCATCGCTATTCAAGCTCACGGACAAGAAAATGGCACCGATCTGGTTGCCGCACCGGCCTCCCAGTCTGCTCACCAGCCGGTCCTATGTAAAGCCTCTGACAAGACTGGATAATCCAGCTGCAGACGACGTCATAATCTGAACATCTGACCAGGTAGCCGAGCGGCGCTGCAAGACATATGTACTCTGGGCTCGTGCTTGTAGAGTCTCCGTATGTACTCCGCCTCCATCGAATCACCATCCCCGCTGCTCATTTTTTGATCTGGAAAGGTGATCAAAAACCCAAATCGCAGATTTTGACATCTAAGGGCGAGAGGGTGGATTTGGGAGATGGGTTTGCGAGCAGGGCGGTGATGGCGAGATGGGTTGCCGTGTCGAGGTGGTTCAAGAGGCAGAGGAGCGGGAGTAGGAGGTTGATCTTTGTGAAATCTTCTTGGGTTAGGCCATCAGGTTGGGGTTGCTTGGTTGGTTTTGGTGCAGTGATTGGCTCAGAAGCTGAAGAGGA